TTTTATAAATACAAGACTTTTATATTGATTATGTCCTTATATTTGTATTGATGTTTTATTATTTCTATTAAATACTTATATAATTCACTTGAGCACTGGTATCTGGCCTGAAATCTTGGAAATACCTGTACATGCTTACAAATTTTGATGGATTTTTTAAAAAATAGTAATCTAACTATACTTTGGAACTTGCTGTTTAAAGAAAAAGACTTGCAGAGAAAGGCATCTGAAGAAACCTCTTGCTATGAGTTAGTGAGCTGCAGAGATTGTGGGCATGGCACAACTGCTCAGACATTTCACCTCTTCACTGCTTGGAATTGAGTTTGGAGTCATATGCAAATGCAGGACTGATTGAAGAAAGACTCTTAAGGATTTTTTCCCTCCAGCATTCTGGAGCCTCACCCTGTGTGGCTTCTGAAACTTCTTTTACCCACGACCCTTTTCATGCAATACCGGGTAGGTCAGTATGTAAGATAGGTACACAAATCAAGCACGTACTGATAATAAGTCATAAGTAAGTATATTTTAAAACAGATCTCTAAAAAAGTTACAAGGCCACCATTTAAAGAAAAAGGTGTTGACTTATGCATGCTGCAGAATAGGCCACCCCAGAGGTTGGTTGGTGATCAAATAGCCACCACCAGGCCTGCAGCTCACCAATCTGAGGACTGAGCTCAGCAGGCCACCTGTCTGGTCTCAACTGGATTCAGACCCTGTCTGCAGGCAGTGGGAAGTTGGCTGGGCTCCATGGCCCCTACTGGATGGACTCTTGTCTTTCAGGACTCACCAAATGGATAGCTCCTTCAAGTACAGGCCAAGCCAAGATATGAGAAAAACAGAAAGGGGATTGCCAGGCCAGTGAGGGTCTAAGTGTGGATGTGACACATGGAGTGTGACCTCCATCCTGTTCTCATGGCAGGTGTGGGGAAAGATGTCCCTCCTACAGGGAATTGTTCAAAGTCATGTGGTCAAGGGCATGTGTTTTGTTTTGTTTACGGAGGGATTTCACCAGCAGGGCCCAGGGGCCCAGGAGCCTCTCCCAGCAATGCTCAGCCTCATAGGTTCAGGTCTGAGCATTTAGTCCTCAGGTCCAGCAATGTGGTGTCACTGGGCCCTAGCAGTGCCCAAGCTCTGCCAGACCACACCTGGCAATGCATGGAAGGATTGAACTCAAGTTTCATGCAGGCAAGGCATGCACTCCATTCGATTGAACTGTCTCCCTGGTTCCAATTTAAACGGTTTTGCTATTTATTCCTGGTACCAAGTGCAGGTGAGATGAGGACCACTGAGGATAAAACTTCAAATCCTACCTTTCAGGAGTCTAGGACAAGGGCAGTCAGCTAAAATCCTGCTTGATGCATACCACAGAAAGAGTAGAGTGCTTCTCTGGAGATAAAAACAAGCAGCCTGGGATCACGGAAGCATTGCACTGTCGGCAGTCAGAGTCGTTCAAGAGTCTAGTTTCCACGTCAGCCCTGCCTGTTTTCATGATTATCTTCCCTTCAGCACAAAAGGGGCGTGTGGCACATTCTCCTGGTCTGCCCTAGCTTTGATATCTGAAGAGTGGTGTTGCAACTTCTTAGTGGTTTCCAGGACATCTGGCTGGCTTTGCTGGCCTTGTGCAGATGTGTTCTGTGGGCAATAGCAATGATGTTTTTCTGGTTATCCAGAACATTCCTCCAAAGGCCCCTTTCCTCTTCCCAAAGAGGGAGAAAGGTGGACTGGAGCGATAGCACAGCGGGTAGGGAGTTTGCCTTGCATGCAGCCAACATGACCGACACAGGTTCGATTTCCAGCATCCTATATGGTCCCCCAAGCACCGCCAGGAGTGATTCCTGAGTGCATAAGCCGGGAGTGACCCCTGAGCATCGCCGGGTGTGACCCAAAAAGAAAAAAAAGAGGGAGAAAGGTGTCTGGGTTTGGAGGGAAGAAAAGCTCGTGCCTACAGGGTCAGAAAAGGGGTCCTACTGGTCACGGTCACACTTTGGGGAGAAACCTCCAGAGCTGCCATCACTAGGAGTGTGTGGTTGAACCCCTGCAGTACTCAGCCCAAAAGAACTGAAACTCAGAACACAAAATCCTCATCAGAGATTTGATGAGCCTTCAGCTCCTCCACAGACATTCACATGGCACCTACATAGACCCCACCCAGCCTCCACCCAGAGTTCCCTGGTCACATGGCAGAGATCATTCCAGCAGCTCTCTTGGAGGTTCTGCTCTTCGACCACCCAGATAGACCTGCTTGGGGGAGCAGAATATGATGTAGACATACCCTTCATCCCCTCCTGCTTTCCCCTTCTTTGGGAAGCAAGGAGTCCCTAAATGATTATGGGTGCTCAGAGAGGAGTGAAGGAGTTTGAAGGAGTTTAGGTGCAACCTCTGGCTAAAACATTAGATGTATACATGGTGGTGGTAGGGAACTGGCTGGCTGGCCTGGGTGTCACATTCCCGTGCGCCTTTACTGAGGGCAGCGGACAGGGCTTGCTAGCCATGAGCATTTCCCAACCCAATATTGGGAACTTTAACACTGAGAGCAGAGTGGCGCCATTGCCCACAGCACGTGTCTCTGTTTGAATTCCCTTCTTCAAGGGGATTTCAATGAGGGCTTCAAGTTGTGTCATTGGAAGGTGATCTCAGGAAGCAGTGGCAAGGGAGCAGGAAAGAGAAGGCAGCCACACCAAACAAGCCACACCAAACAGGTTGGCTTCCACTGTGAGCTTGTCCCACCTGCAGAGAAGGAGCTGGAGTGTTTGGACTCTATAGTCAGTCTCCTTTGGGACAAAGGCAGGGGTGCTATTTGACCTCAGCTGTAGGCACCAAGCATGCTGGGCAGCGAGAGGTGAGAGATGCTAGGTCTCCCCAAGACCTGGAGGACAAGTCAGCCTTGGACTCCTTAACGTGGATTCAGAGTCTAGACTGTAATGACCATGTGAGAAAGTCTAGAAATTGGTGAAAAGTCATGGCCCATCAGAAGGGAAGTTCTTTCCAGAACTAAACTCAAGAAAATGGTGGGCCTAGAGTGGGAAGAGAAGCTAGTCCTGCTGCTAGCTGTGGTGCAGCTCCAACCCAAGGGGTGGCCAGGAAGATGCAGATGCAGACTGCTTGTCTGTTTCTAGATAATACTGGTTCGCAACTTTTTTTTTTTATTCATTTATTGAATCACTGTGGGAAAGGTTACAAAGCTTTCAGGTTTATGTCTCAGTCATGCAAATATCAAACACATTTCCCTTTACCAATACTTATTTTTTACCATGAAGAACCCCAATAAAACCCCACCCCCCACGCCTCCCCGTCCCTGTGAGGCAGATGAATTCTAGTTAACACTCTATCTGCTTTGATTAGATTCATTGTTTCAATAAAAGATTCACCACTATTTTTTAGAGTTTACCCCCCCCAAATCAGACATGCTGAAAAAGCATTGTGAAGTGATTTGCTTTCTACAGCTGGGTTCAAGAATTAAATGTTGGTTTTGGATTTCTGCTATTTTACCTATTGACCCTGGAGGTATTTCTACTGAAAATCAGATAGTTAAGAAATTGGTTTCTGTGTTCTGGAGTGGTGGCCGTGCTGGAGAGCCGCTCGCGGGGGGCAACCGGTAGCCTCGGTAGGGCGTGAAGGGCGGAGCGAAACGCCCCCCTTCCCATGAGGTTTTAGTCGCCCCCACACTCCCGGCTCATACCTGCTGTCCACAAGGCTACCATGTGGCCGCCATCTTTCTTTCCAGAGAGGAGAGGGCGAATGGGGCAACACCCTTTCCCCTCCAGCAGACTTGATGGCCTGGATCAACGCATAGTCCGTTCACTTTTCTGCTCCAAGCTGCTGGGTTCTGCATTAAGTCCTTGTGCTTCTGGGGCCGTGGCTGTGCTGGAGAGCCGCTCGTGGGGGGCGACTGGTGACCTCGGTAGGGCGTGAAGGACGGACCGGAACGCCCCCCTTCCCATGAGGTTCTAGTCGCCCCCACACCCCCGGCTCATACCTGCTGTCCACAAGGCTCCCATGTGGCTGCCATCTTTCTTTCCAGAGGGAGGAGGGTGGAAGGGAGCAACACCCTTTCCCCTCTGGGCAGAAATGACTGCCTGGATTAACGCATAGTCCTTTCACTTTTCTGCTCCAAGCTGCTGGGTTCTGCATTAAGTCCTTGTGCTTCTGGGGCTGTGGCCGTGCTGGAGAGCCGCTCGTGGGGGGCAACTGGTGATGGTTCGCAACTTCTATGTATGTTAAAAGTCTGGAGACCCTTCACAAAATCTATTATATGACAATAGCACTGTAACACTGTCCTCCCATTGTTCATCAATTTGCTCGAGCGGGCACCAGTAACATTTCCATTGTGAGACTTGTTGTTATGGTTTTTGACATATCGAATATACCCTGGAGAGCTTGCCAGGCTCTGCCGTGCAGGTGGGATACTCAGTAGCTTGCTGGCTCTCTGAGAGAGATGGAGAATTGAACCCGGGTCAGCCGCGTGCAAGGCAAATGTCCTACCCACTGTGCTGTCACTCCAGCCTATATGACAGTGGTTATTATCAAATTATTCCACAAGAATGAATATCTCTCAGGATATTAATATTTTAATCAAAAACAGGCCCCCCAAACCTGAAGGAAAGTGAGGTCCTTGGATTTCTCAGGTCCTTTTGAGTGAGTAACCCCTGTATTGCATGACCACTCTCCTCAAGACAGAAAGTATGCAGTATTTCCCAAACCTACTTGTCCCTGAAGCTTCCTTTCCTCCCAGATACCTCTGAGGGACCCACAGTAATTTGCAATTCCCAGCACAGTTTGGGAAACACTTCACCAGAAGCACTTAACAAGGAACAAACAATTTAATCGTAAATGAGAGAGCCGGCAGAAAGTCCTTGTGTTGAGAAAGGCAGCACCACAAGCTGCCTTTTCTCAGTCCTCCTACACTCAGATTGCACTGTCAAGCCAGTGCACTGTCAGCCTTCCTCTCCATGGCAAGTGCCCGGCACTTCTAACCGCCTTTTCCTCTCTCTGCCTTGCAGTTGGGTTTCTTTCGCCGAAGGTACAAAGAAATTATTGAAGCTGAGAAGAACCGGAAAGAGAATGAAGACAGTTGGGACTGGGTCCAGAAAAACCAGTGACCGCCCGCCCCGCACCAGTCCCATGACCCAATGGTTCGCCTGTTGTCCTTGATCTTTGTATCTTCCATATTTGGAAGAAAGAATCTTCTCCAGATTTTTCGGAGGCCCCACTGATGCTGTTCTCTTCCTCATTCTATCAAGCCCAGGTGCCAATCCGAGGCAGCCACTTTGGCCAGGTCACATGACTCTGCCACCACCACATCCTTCTGAACATGAACTCTGAACTTTGGAAAGGAAGTGACAGAGCCGAGCAATATTTATGGATGCAACATGCGTGGTCAACCCTCAGGGGAAAACTGTTACCTAAAAGTATTTTTATAAATATAAGCTTTTTATACTGATTATGTCTTTATATTTGTATCAATGTTTTATTATTTCTATTAAATAGTTATATAATTCACTCAAGCACTGATATCTGGCCTGAAATCTTGGAAATACCTGTACATGCTTACAAAATTTTATGGATTTTTTTTTAAATAGTAATCTAACTGTATTTTGGAACTTGCTGTTTAAAGAAAAAGACTTGCAGAGAAAGGCATCTGAAGAAACCTCTTGCTATGAGTTAGTGAGCTGCAGAGATTGTGGGCATGGCACAACTGCTCAGACATTTCACCTCTTCACTGCTTGGAGATGAGTTTGGAGTCACGTGCAAATGCGGGACTGATTGAAGAAAGACTCTTAGGATTTTTTTTCCTCCTATGTTGCTTTCTTTGGAAGATTCCCAGCAGAAGTCTGAATGGAAAACCCTGATTTCTAGCAACAAGTCTGTTCAGCATCACCTATATACAGGAGGCCTCTTACCCTCCTTCCGTTTGGATTCATGGACAAAAGCCTGGAGCCATGCCAGGCAGTCATCTGGTAAACCTCACGATGACATCTCATCCCAGACATTGTGCCTCAGAGTCCACACAGCATAAGGACTGAATCAGTGCTCACCAGGCAAAGACTTGTGTCTGAATGTTGTGATGTGTTGTCTTTGTGTGCTACTCTGGCTTCCGAGGGCTCCATTTCTCTCTACCACTCTTGTGTCCCAAGTTATGGCAGTTGCAAATTCCTTCTCAAGATGACCACTCAGTCTGTCCTTATATGTTTTTGTGTCTTTGGTGAGGTGCCTAAGAAACATATCCCGAGTCTAGGGTTTGCATACAAATAACTTATTAAGGAAATATTCTGCCAGTGACACCAGTAAGGGAGTGAGAAACGCAGGGCCAGCAAGGGGAGGGAGCAAGACCAGGGTGCTATTTCAGACAGCTCCTATCCTTCAACGTGCCCTGCCATGGATCTCTGGAGGGTAAGTTACTCCTCAGAGTTGTCCCAACCTTTATATACCCATGAGAGAAGTAAACTTTCTGCCTCAGTTCCTCCTATCGGGAGGGCTCCAGTAGCTACAGGCCTTTTCTCTAACTGAGATATACAAGTGCATCCCCCAATATGCAGGGTGCTACAGAAATTATATCAAGGAATCCAGGAATGTCACTTGCTTTCTCTCCTATCTGTTGAATGTATGAATATTGAGTTATTACCTTCAGTCACCAAGCTCTCCATGTGGCCATGTTTGTGATCAGAGTTGGTGCTGCTGCACAGTTTTTAGTACAGTGTGATTTTCTAAAAGTACAACGAGATGATGGATGCAGCATGCATGGCACTGCATCTTGCCCAGAGTGTACACTCAGTGACCTCTGGCAGTTCTGGCTATCACTCTCACTGCTGAATAACCCGCCAAAACAAGAGAGAAAGCAAGTAGCTGAAAACAGAGTTCTCTCAGAGTCCTAAATGGCTTATTCCAGGCTTCTTAAGCTCTGGCATCACAGAGGAAGGAAACAAGAAACAACACCAAGTGTCTTAGTTATAGGTCCTGATTTCGTGGAACCCACTCCCTCCCCCCCCCCCATGTTTGGGGATCCATAAACATAGTTTAAAAGATACACAACTTAATGTTTCTGGGGAAACATGTGTTTCATACACATACTTGACTGATGCTTGCAAACAGACCTAAAATTCTGGCAAGATTCCAAGGGTGCTAGGTAGTAACAAAGCTGGCGTGGAGTATCCTTTGATTTCTTATTAGGCATTTGACTAATGCAGGAAGAGGAGTGAGTCATATTTCCCTTTCTGGTGAACATGGGGAAAGGCAGGAAAAGCCAGAGAGTCAATGGCGTGAACTAGACTGATCTCAGAGTGAAACTGGATGTTGCTTCTGAGGAATAGGGTCACAGAGGTAACCACAGAGCAAGCATGGGCAGAGAAACCAGCTCTCATTGAGATGTCTATGAGATTTGCTGACGGTAATCAAAGCAGTATTGAGTAGGTTTCAATTACTCATTTAGCAGCTATTTATAGGGTCTCTGATGGATTTCAGGCACTAGTAACTAGAGGTGCCCCAGGGTATGTTTTGAGGTATGTTTTTTGCTTGGGGGAGACAACTTGGGGGGCCCTCCTTACAACATAGTTCAGAATGTGAAATCCTTGCTGAGACCTTCTCTGCAGCTGTCTTGGTTGAAATCTTACCCCTAAAGTGACGTTGGCCTTTAATAAGTTCTTTAAGTAGGAGTCTCAGGTGGTAGATCTGGTCTTTCAATATCAGCAGCTAAGGCCAAATACATTTCTAGCCACTATCCAGTCTCCTGCCCAGGGCTGCATGGAAGAGAGAAGACCATAGATTTGAGTTTAGCCAGCCCCGGGGGAGAGAACCTCACTTTTGGGAAGACAGTCTCAGAGTCAGAATTCAATGCTTCTGGTTGATTCTGTGTGGTCATCTCACAGGGTTTTATGAGGCAGTCTTCACTGGACCTCACTAGAAGCGGTGATTGGCAATCACTCCAGGAACCCATGTGAAGAAGGATAGCAGTGCCTCTCCCTGTCAGAGCTCTGAGCAGCAGGCACTGGGAGATTGGGGGGCAGACGGGGGGAGTTCAGTTTTCAGCTTAGTGATGGAGAAAACAGTAGAGCATATTGCTAGCACTCTCTCAACTTGGGCGATTGACCAGGTCCATCCAGGTCAAGAGGCTCTCAGGGGAAGCAGACAGAGTGTTACTCATATTACATCTCCAGAATATTCTTTAAAACTCCACTGTGCTTTCTGATTCCACCCTTTCTGCTTCTGTGGGCTCATGGCGAGATTCTATAAGATCTCTTGTACCAAATGACCCCAAGTTAAGTTGGACATTTACCAACTGTCAGGAGGATGGAGATGCTTTATAATTGTGAAAGGAATCTTTAAAAAGATGGAGTAAAATACTGGCCCTTCTTCCAAAAAGATTCACTTAGCTCAATTTACAAGGGACTTGAGAATTTGGAGCATCCCCTGAGTGAGCCTGCAGCCAAGAGGCCTTGACATCTAGGAACTAGAGCACACACAGGCACATGTCAGGAATCATTTCCTCTGGAGGTCATGAGGCTCTGACAGTTCTTCAGGAACTTTCCATCAGCATCACCAAGAAGTATGGTAAGCTTTCAGAAGATCCAATAGAAAGACTCACACCTACAGTCCTTGACCAAGGACATGGAGGTTAAAAACAGCCAGTAGCACTACTGGGAACATCTGGGACCCACTTTCATTGCCCAAGTATAGTACCCCTCCCCGCCCCCACCCCCAGTGATATGTGAGTGCTGCATGTTGCCTGTTGAAGCCTAGTTTAGTGATTTCTTTAAAAGTTATTCTATTGGGGTATTTTTTGGCTACATTATGGCCAGGTGAACAGTTATGTCTAGGTGATATACAAAACCTAGTGAAACCTACTTGGTCCAAACTTCATGAAATTTAGAGGTGCACAGCAAATAATTGTTCTTTGGGAGAAATGGTTCTTTAGCAGATAAGAGGTATAAATTGTGTGTTATTTCATAAATGCTCCAATATGCAGGGTTTTAGTTCTGCTTTGTTTTGCTACATAGAGCAATAATATATACAGTGGAGAATTTTTTTAATGAGGAATGGCTGAAAGAAGGATACAGAGCCAGTAGGGCCAAAGTAAATGCTTCTAAATCATCTTCTGATTTTTCAGCACACTGGGAGAATACTGAACAAGTTCTCCATGTGACACAATGCTGTATAGCACAATGCTCTCGATTTTGCTAAGGTTTTTGAATTTTCTAATGTGCACGGTATGGTTGGCAGCATGAGTTCTGAAAGCTTGAAGAGTGATAGCTTTGCATAGCAGGCACTTCACTGAGTTCACCTCCAGAACTTGCTTGATGCCTCCCACACATTTCTGTTGAGGGACTTTGGTGGGAGGGTCATTTCTCTCCGCAAACTCACGTGTATTAACGTCTATGCCATCACTTCTAATTTACTGACACTGTTTGGAAAATGCAGGTTTACAAATATACATGTTTGGAATAAAGAATGGCTACCAAGGATTCAGGAGTCTGGTCTGCGGTTTCTTTGCTAATGGAAAATGTGAGCCTTTTTAATAAGGGGTTCAAGAAGGGTTTTCCGTGGGACACAACATAATAATTAAAGAGTATGTCCAGGTCCATCCAATTGCACATGAATCACCCACTCAGTGTGACTTGAACTGTCCTCCTTGCGTGGCCTCTGTTTCGTGGCCACTCCTCTGCATCTCCCATCTCCCAAAGCCATAACCTTAAGATAAATGTAACCAAACTGCATGAGTGAGTTTCTCATTGTCAGTAGCTAGTTTCCAGCAGTCAGCAGTCGTAAGCATTTTCCCAGAAGCTCTTTGGTAACAGGCTTACATGTTTATAAACATTGTGTTCTCTTATATTTTTAATTGCCTCCATTTGTCTAGTGACATCTCTGATCTTATCTCAAATGTTGTGCCTTTGTATGTTATTCAATTTTTTCCCCCTAGATGGGACCAACAAAATCCACTGACTGGTCTTTTTCAAGAGTAAGACATTGACTATGCCATTTAAAGTGACTGGTTTTTGTTTTCTATTCCATTTTACTTCTTTGAATTTATTTTATTACGCCTTGAACTTAAATTTTATACTCATACATTCCACAAGAAAGGAACGGGATATACAAAGACCTCCACTGAAGGATCAAAGCTAGTTGTCCTTAGGCTAGTGGGATTGTCAGAGTCTGGGCTTTGCTTTTTGTTCTGTTTTGTTCAGTTGTATGGATTCTAGCTTGCTTCAGTGAGCTTGTAATTCTTTTGTTAACAATGAAACATATACAGATTATTTTGAATAAAATTGCCTCTGTGAGACTAGGCCTCGCTAAGCCAAACTGGAGGCGTAGAAAGAAAGAGACCTGTGTGCTGTGAAGAGTATTGTTGAGAGGACACCAAGGACAATGGGCTAGTGAGTAATTTCAAGCATTCTAATTGCTTTCTTTCAGATGCTTTCTGGCTTAACAGGACTTGCCACTGTCACTAAAACTAATTAAATGAGCTTCTCTGGGGTTGTCCAACCAGATTTCCCAGTGAGAAAAGTTCTTGACAGACAGAAAGAAATTAAAAGACATAAAATGTAGAGGAAGGAAATCGACCATTGATGTCTTCAGCCTCCCATTCAATGACGGTTTCCCTGTCCAGACTCTGCATCCTGCAGGCTCTTACACTCTCTGGGTGACCAAACCCAGTGACATAATTGAAAATAGGCACTCCCTTGGCACTCTGCCTGAACACACAAACTGGCAACTGCCCATCAGCAGAGCCACCTGCCCTGAAAACATGGCTATTCACTTGGGGAGCACCTCTAACAAAAGTGGGGAGAGCAAGGGGTTGCCACTGTAGCACTGTCCTCCCATTGTTCATCGATTTGCTTGAGCAGGCACCAGTAACATCTCCATTGTGAGACTTGTTACTGTTTTTGGCATATCAAATACATCATGGGTAGCTTGCCAGCCTTTGCCTTGTGGGCGAGATACTCTCGGTAGCTTGCCAAGCTCTCCGAGAAGGGAGAAGGAATCAAACTTGAATTGAACTCAGGTTGGCCACGTGCAAAGCAAATGCCCTACCTGCTATGCTATCACTCCAGCTTTCTGAAATCTGAAATAACACCAGCCTCTCCATCACCTCCAAATTTAATCCATATTATTTTATACTTTATTTCATATGGTTTTTCTATAATTGAAAAAAATTCTAGAACTTCATAGCATCTCAAATATCCCTAATGCCCTTTGAAGACACCAAATTGATAAAAAAAAAAATGCATCCCTTTAAAAAAGGACTTTGTTCTAAGAAGTTGCAGGTTAGACTGAAGGAGATTCTCTCCACGCTGACATCTCTTCAGAACCCACCTTAAAGTTTAGTGTATTTTCTTCCATATAATTTTAAAAATTCAAACAACAAACAACCGGAGCCTGAACATGATAAGCTGGGTCTATGATTCAGCAGTAGAACACATGGGATCTTGTGTCTGGATGACCTGGCTTCAGTTCCTGCCATCAGATGGTTCCCTGAGCACAACCAGAAGTCACCCCTAAGAGCAGAACTGGGAGCAGCCCCTCAGCACTGCCTGGTGAGCCGTCAACCAGAAGAATAATAGTAATCATGCCATAAAATCCTCATGATACAAGTGTGCTCCTTTCTCACCTAAAGCAGACCAGATATGGATTCTCCTGGTTTTGGAGTGTCATAGATGATCAGGGTACAGGCCCAAGTTTTCTAAAGTCCCAGATAGCAAACAGGGCACAAGTCATTATATATGTACCAGCCAGGAAAAAGAATAAAATGGTGCATGCCCTTCCCTCTTCAATAGCCTTCCCAGAAGTCTCATATAACACAGTGGAGGTGAATGAATTAATAGAGAATGAGACGCAAGACCATATCAGAGAAAACCAACAAGTACCACACCCGTCTTCTCTCCTGAGCACTCAGAATATAGTTGAGTTATCCTAAGCATACAGCTTTAAATCCTTCCATATGAATGGATTTAAATAAGGGGGAAAACTTTATGTGAGATGGGAAGAAATTCAGACGTGTGGTCAGTCCTCTTTCTGTCCACTCAACCCCCTTTCTTGTTGTAAGTGACTCTTTTTCCCTTCTTTATCCCCTCTTCAGCCTCATATTGCACTCTCTTCCTACCTAATGCATGCCTGTCCTTCACTGTCACTGTCACTGTCCTCCCATTGTTCATTGATTTACTCAAGCGGGCCCAGTAACATTGTGAGAATTGTTGTTACTGTGTTTGGCATATCGAATACATCACGAATAGCTTGCCAGGCTTTGCCATGTGGGCAAGATGCCTGTCCTTAGACACATTATATCTGTAGTTTTACTTCCATGATATTAAGCCTGAGTACTTGGTCATTTTATATATACAGGATTGTGGTGACACCCAGCAGTGCTCAGAACTTACTCCTGGCTCTGTGCTCAGGGATCATTCCTGGTGGTGTTCAGGGGAACACTTATAGTACTGGGGATCAAACTAGGGTTGGCCACATGCAAAACATATACCTTAGCCTCCGTATTATGTCTCTGGCTCCCTGTGTTTTATATTTTAAGGATGTTGTCATATTGCTGTGTTCGCATTTCACGTTGTTTCTGACTGAAGCACTGCATTCTACCTTGCTTCCCTGTAAGGCGCTGCAGAGAATGATTGGGAGAACAACTGGGGTCGAGGTTGGACCCCTGAACTTTGACCCAAGCAACCGAGTGAGGGGTCCCCCTCCCCTGGCAGGACCCCCTTGGCTTCCCGCCAGCAACTCCTTTCTCCCTCCTCAGACAGCCGGCTGCAACACCCAACTTCTTTGCCTAACATCAGGGACCATTGAGCAAGCTAATTTCCCCCCAGCAGCAGGGAGACTGAGGGACAAGAACACCCTGTTCCACTGTTTGTGGGCTTGTGTGGGAATCTCCCCCCAGAGATTCATCCATTGTTCCCTCTTTTTCTCTTGAGGTATATAAACCTAAGCCTGATTGCAATTAAGCCTGCAGAGGCTCCTGGATCGCATGTCTTGTCTGTTTCAATCTTGTCTTTTTCATAAGGCTCCACTTCATACAACCCTAGTTGTACTCGCCATTCCTCTAGAGGCTCTCTTTCTTCCCTGTCTGGTGTGCAACAGGTGGGGTTGGGTGGACTGCCAGGGCTGGCTCTTCTGCTGGTCCTGTGACCCAGTGTGGACCCATTCTTCCAGAGTATTTACTTGTCCAGCCCCTCTGATAGAGTCTCTTGCTGCTCCTGCCCTTCTCTCCCATGACCCCTTGTGGGTCTCACCTAGAATCTCTCTTGGTCCATATCATGCATATTACAGTCAAGAGAGTTTCAAGAATCCTCCTGTGACAGGGCTCAGGGAACTATAAAAGATGCTGGGGAATCAAGCCGAAGTCAACTGTGTACAAGGCAAGCGCCCTACCCACCTTTACTCTACTTGCCTTCTCACTTCTCTGTCCCTCTCTCCACCTTAATTTTTATTTCCAGTTGTAGATTTTTTAAATTTACAGATACCCTGAATTTCAGTTTTAGAGAGTTTGAGTTGTTCATTCAGGTTTATTTCCTTTTTTTGCAGGGGTGGGGTTGAGGGTGAGGGTTGGGCCACAACCAGCAGTGATCAGGGTTTACTCCTGGCTTTGCACAGTGATCACTCCTAGCAGGGCTCAGGAATCAAACCTGGGTTAGCCGTGTGCAATGGAAACATTTTAATCCCTGGGCTACTTCCCCAGCCCCTTTTCTCTAAGTTCTCCTTAGCTCTCCAGCTGTCCCTTCATCATCCTCTTTGCTGTGGCCATAATCCAGGGTTACACACACAAGAGTGGGGTGTGCACAGGATTTTGGCTGCTGCACCTACTAGGGTTACCACTCCAGGCACTCACCCTCAACCCTTTAGTGTTATGCTCATGGGGATCACATTTTTTGATCCTATCTTCTCACAAACAGTGCTCTCTGGGGCCCCCCTTTGTTTTAGTGCTCACGTACATCCAGCTACAGTGTGGCTGGAAATTTCTCATTGCCCTAGGACTCACTCATATACAACAAAGCCAACAGATACAAGCATCAGAGCTGTGGGCACAGTGCTCAGAGCATGCAGTGGGAACCAAGCTGGTCACCATGCACTCACAAAACATGCCCCTGAGCCTCTGAGTCATTCCCCGGATCACCTCTGATTCTGCCCTAATTCATGCAAGCATTTATTATAGTTTCTTATCCCTGCCCCTGTGTTTAAGTTTTTTATTTTGAAGTCTGCTAACCTTGATTGCTTTGTAATACATGTTATTTCCTTTTGTGTTTAGTAATTTTTCTACCATAAACGACTCATTTTCCATAGGATTTACTTGTGGGAAGTTGAGGTGGTTTCCTCTAGGCAAGATTTTCTTTCACTTCTAACAAGTGCCAAGAGAAGTCATACCCTGGTATTGTTTTAAATTCTTCGCAGGAGACTTTTTTGCAGATATTCCAGGAACCAGCATTCAGCCAAACACTGGTATCAGAGCGAGGCTGAGATTATGGATTCTCTCTGGGAAATGATTTGTCTCCTCCATCAAGACCTGAGCTCTAATTGAGTGGTTTTGTTGGGGTACTTTGAGCATGGAATGATGGTGAGCTTACTTCTCATTCATTCATCTTTATACTGTCAATGTAGCCCTTTTGCCCAGATTTATGAATGGGAGAGCCTTTGATATTGCCTTCTCATAGTGATTTCAGCCTTATGACTCCACTGTCCATGATGCTCTGAAATTT